GGGCGATCGGGGCGCCCCGCTGTCTCCCGCGGATCTCCCGGGGCGGCCGGGTTGCCGTCCTTCCCCGCGGACGTTTGTTTACTTTCTTCCTAGGATCGCACCCCGTTGTTGACCGACTCTGTTCTTTCCCCTCCCCTCTGCAGTTCTAGCGACGGAGAAGAGAACTCGTGGAGCTGGAGCCCCACAGATCACCGGTGAAAATGAAGGTAAGTGGAGTCCAACTCCGCCGAGCCTCGTGCCCTGGACTGCCAGCCGTGAGCCCGGCGCGGTGGAATGGATTGTCATCTTTATGTTACTTCCGATTGGTTTCGGTAGAAAGCAGTGCTTTCAGAAAATGAGGGCAAGTGAATGGGCGACAGCCCGCGAGTCTCCAAGCTCTCCCTTCACCTCAGCTCTCCGCAGCACGGAATACTTTGGAGAGGTCGGGGCAGCCTTTCACTTCTTGTCCATTAGGCTAGTATGTTTTTTAAACACTTCCTGTGTTGGCAGCAACCTTTGCAGAAGTAAAGCTTTTGTCCTGCTGGCGGTTCTTTGGGGGATTTTTTGGGAATTTTTTTTCTTCCCCATTGTCAATTCGATTTTCTTAGAGAAAGAATATACGGGTCGGGTAAAGGAGATATTGGGGGCAAAGCAAACTTCTGTGGATACGATAGTTAAATAGTTGAACTGTAATAATGCTTGGCTATAATGCAGTCTTTGTAGTAGTTTAAAACATACGTTCATCCAAGATATTTTTATATTCTTCTTAAGAAACCTGATTTGGAAGCACCACTGTGTGCCTATTTAGAAGGAAGGGAAAGGAAGTTCTCGTAGCACTGTGAAATGGGTGGCCACTCGATGTTTCTGGCCAGATACTTGCCAAACGCCTGTTTCTTGTTTTTTGGTTTTTTTAATTTTTTATTTCAGAATGTTAAGCTCGGAAATATAACATTTTCCCCAAGTTTCTCTTGCCTTCCTATTCTTGGAATAACATATCTTGAGAAAGTACTTGGGAAAACATACTGGAAAATGAACCATTGTATTTAAAAATAACAAAAACACATTGTTACCTTTGCACTTAGTAATGTTGGGTTGCTTTTGAGTTCACCTAACTCCAAAAAAAATAGGTACACTGAGACGGCAGTCGTCCTTTTACTGTAAGATTAAAATGAATAGCAGAAAGAAATTTCTCCTAATCTTCAATGTATCCTTTTGATCATGGCCATTTGCTGAAAGTAAGCTTTTCTTAGTGAAGCTATTTTAGTTATATGGCTGTGGTCTGTAGCCATCTTTTCATACCTGCATTCATCAGCTGAATTTGCAGCTTTTCACCAATAAATTTTCCAAAAAAGCTTAGTTTTTCTGTACAAATAAACTATATGCAAAAATGTTATTTTGATGAGATATATCATTATGCATTGTTAGTTTTGTTTTTAATAGCAGTATCATTTAATTTTAAAACAATTATCAGAATACTATAAATGAATAATTTTATGAGACATAATATGGACATATTTTTTCTATTGCACAAATTGTAGAGTTTTTAAAAACATTCTGAATCTGGAAAAAAATACTATATTTTATTTTTCATAGTTTCCAATTATAATTTTAAAACATTTTCTGGTATAAGGAAATCAGTGTCTTCATGAAGCCTTCTTAACAAAGTGCTTATGGGGTATTTTTCAAATTATGGCTGATATTAATGAGCTAATGTCCTAATGACAATATGGAGAGCGTCATGCTGCTTGAGGCTGGGAGGGGAGAGGCTGCAGGGCGCTCACGGTGGCCATCCTCTCCCCAGGCGGCCGACGAGCCTGCCTACCTGACTGTAGGCACGGACGTCAGTGCCAAGTACCGGGGCGCCTTCTGCGAGGCGAAGATCAAGACGGTGAAAAGGCTGGTGAAAGTCAAGGTAATAAATACAGTTTTACTTTTTTCCTCAATACAACAGCTTTATTATCCAGGTTGAAAGGATTGGAATTGTAGTAACTATATGGGGAGGTGGCAAGTCAGCATGTTTTAAATGAATCGGTACTGTGTGAAAACACTGTTGTATGCTAGACTTAGAGGAAAAGTACACTAAGAATGGAAAAGGAACCAGAATGAGAAACTTTTCCAAAACCCTCCTGTCACAGTTTCATGTTTATAACACTCCTTCATTTGGCACCTTCCTGTTTGAGGTAGAATACTTGGGACATAATCTGGTCTCTGCCTTTTCATAATGTTCAGGTAGAGACAATATCAGTAATTAGGTTAGAGCAGTGCACTGGAAACCATGTTTTCAAGACAGCAGTAAAAATAATTCAAGATTATTTTTAAAATGCTTTTATGACCAGAAAAAAGTGAAAGTTAATACATTTCTGCGTAGTATTTGAGAACAAGAAAAGTCCAGATGGATTTGTACTTGAGCTTCTTAGAAATACTGATAATTTTTGTTTTCTTCCAGTAATTTTTTCTATGTAAATATGGATTTTAATAGTTTTGTTACTTAGATTAAAAAGAACCTATTAAAAAAAGAAAAAAGCAGCCTATGCTTATACAAACATGTTAGAGCTATAAACTACTTACATAGCCTTTTGACAATATAAAGGATGTAAGATTTGGTTACTGAGTATTTGTGGGACTGTCTGACAATTTTAACTTTTCTTTTTTTCTTTTTTTTTTTGGCTCATTTTTCAAAAAAATCGGCACGAAGATTGTTTTTCTTCCTGAATTTGAATGTACTTATTTGGAGTCGCCTTGTGTATTTGGGAGGATGTGGAAGGAGAGAGGAGGGTTAGAAAGGCTCTGGTTTGCGTCTGCACCAGTTTTCATCATTCTTCAGTTTTGGGGGCCGGAAGAGCTCCGGTTTCAAATTGGCCATAAATGTGATTTTTTTTCTATACTTTGTGACAAACAGAACCTTTTAACATAACTTATTGATAAAATGCACAAAAGGCAACTCTAAACTTTTGCTGTAATTGCTATAGAGTGTAAATCTTTAGTTCCTTCTGTAAACAGTTATTAAATGCCTATAACTCGCATTGACACTTGCTACCTGCCGGGGAATATGGAAATCAGAGTGGGCTGCAGCCCCTCAAGGCACTCACAGTTAATGAGAGACAATAAACATAAACACAAGGCCCTGTAATAACTGTTAGAGCAAAGGTAACCACAGGGTACTTAGAAGGCATAGGTGAATGACATCATTGTTACAGTGCTACTGTATATATTATTTTAAAAGCAACATGCAACTTACTATGCAAAACTGTTTTCCAGGTGCTTCTGAAACAGGATAATACAACACAGTTGGTGCAAGATGACCAAGTCAAGGGTCCTTTAAGAGTAAGTGAAATAAATCATTCACAGGTTAAATTTTGCGTGGTTTCTCTGATATGAGAGACCCAGAACGTATGAAAGAGCCACGTAAAGAAACAGGGAGACGAACTTTATAGAAGTGGGATGGGATTGGGGAAAGAAAGCGAGGGAAAGGTTGGGAAGGGTGTTGCAGGTGAGAAGTGTATGTGTAGCACGGCTCCCAGTTGTACGCATTTGCCGTGCGTCACTGGCACACCAATAAAAAATGCTAATCTCAGCACTAAAGAAGTGCGGGGGACGAGAATCGCTGGGAGTTCACCGCCAGCCTGAGCTGTACAGTGAGACCCTGTCTCAAAAAGCAGCACGAACAACAAAATTCTAAGCATACTACTAGGTTGTACAGTTTGAAATCAAAACTAATGAATCATCCACTCATACTGTAACTTACTGACTTACATTTGTACATAACTTAAAATTTTATCAGAATGTTTAAGTAAAAATACAAGTGCGGTATTTGTGTAGTTAAAATGAATTATGATGTTACACTGATTGTATCTTTAAGAATGTCAGTAGTTTACGACAGGGCGGTTTAATATATATTTAAATGTTTTCATTTGCTTTTTGTTTTGAATTCTTGAACTGAATACCCTTACTTAGTTTTCACATGGTTGGCCTGTTTTAGGTGATAGTTGTTAAGCTATCTAACCAGTACCATGAGCTTTAATCTTCTTTTATTCTCAGTTGCCAAGTAAACGATGCTCATTTCATAGCTCACTTTAATGAATCTGTATAATATGTTTTTCATCCAATTCTGGCCATTCCTTCATGTATTGAATCTTTGTTGTGTCAGAGTTCCCCTTCAGTTAAAACCTGATGCACAGAGATCTGAAAGCTGAAAGGAAGTCAGCTCTTTCATACCTCTGTCTCCAGGTGAATCTTTTTTTTTTTGAGACAGGGTCAATATTGTATAAAAGAAAATAAAATCTATTTTGGTTATCTTATGGTTTTGTGTTTTTCTGTTTTTTTGAGACATAGCTCAGGCTAGCCTTGAACTCAGCAAACCTCTTGCCTCAGCCTCTTGAGAGCTGGGATTATAGCACCACCACACCCAGAGATTTTACAGTTTTTATGTTTGTTTTGGGTTTTTTTTTGGTACCGGGGATTGACTTTAGGACCTTATGCTTGCGAGGCAGGTGCGGTGCCACTGAGCTAAATCCCCAGCCCTACAGTTCTTACTTTAAAGTTTCCTGAAGTCGGTGTGATTTAAGAGACTGGATAAATGATAAAGGTCTAAGCCAGAGTAGGGAAGAAATATTTTAAGTATTATTTTTCTTAGCCAGTTGTAGTTGGTGTGAATGCCTCAATTTGTTTGTTTAAAATTGGTGAAGATGTTTGGGGTTTGTGTTTCAGGTTGGAGCAGTTGTTGAAACTAGGGCGCCTGATGGATCTTTTCAGGAAGCGGTTATCAGCAAGTTGACAGATGCTAGCTGGTATACTGTGGGTGAGTAGCTGTGTGATTGAACAATTAGATTGGATTTGGAGGTTGGGTGCAACCCCTATTTTCTGGATACGTTGAAGCATTGTTTTGGCAGAGAACCACAAATTCTTTCCTGTCAGTTCACTGGCTACCTTTGGTTACAATTTCAAGGATACCCTGGTGGAAATAAAACCAGTGACCAGTGTGGTTATGCATGCCAATAATAGCAGCACTTGGGTGGCTGAGGCAGGAGGGTTGCTGTGATCTGCATAGTGAGATCCTGTTGCAAGGGATATAGTAACTTGGCCACTGGTATTTGTTTCACTGAAAACATACTGCTGTTAAAAAAAAAAGTCAGTAGGACTGTAATTGAACCTCTGTTTGGAATTGCAGTTAAGATTGCACAGATGCTGTTACTCTGGTCTTATATAAAAGTAAGTTAAGTGTTAACGTCAGAATTTACAGATTTAAAAAACATTATGGCTGAGGTAGATTCAGGCACAGGTATAGCTTGATTTTTGATTATTAGTACAGAGTGGGCTTGCCTATTAACAGCTCTCAAGAAAAATACATATACTGCTGGGCGTGGTGGCGCATGCCTGTAATCCCAGCACTCAGAGGCTGAGGCAGGAGGATCGCTGTGAGTTTGAGACCAACCTGGGCTACACAGTGAGTTCCAGGTCAGTCTCAACTACATAGTGAGACCCTGTCTCAAAAAACACCCCCCCCCAAAAAATCCTGTTAATGTAAATGCTTTCATAACATTCCATGCTTAAGCTTATACTAGCTTTAAAAACTTCAGTGAAGCTGGATGTGGTGGCTCACGCCTGTAATCCCAGCACTTGGGAGGCTGAGGCAGGAGGATCGCTGTGAGTTGCAGACCATCCTGGGCTACATAGTGAGTTCCACATCAGTCTCAACTACATAGTGAGACCCTGTCTCAAAAAAAAAAAAAAACCTTCAGTGAGAAGCAACAAGTATCAAAATGTGTGTAAATTAAAACCTGAAAATAATACTTAACTACTCGTTACCATTATGCTGATGAGAGTAGCAGTTACTCACATTTCCAAACGTCGCAGTACTTTTCAGATGACATCCAACGCTTTGTTTTATACTGGAAGCCTGTAGCATTGTTTTATAGTTATATCCTAGTATGAGCGGTGGGTATAATTATGGTGTGGTAATTTCCTTCTCAACAAAAGGAATGGCCGTTTAGTTTACTTTGTTTTGAGTGAAAATTGTTTCTCATCAAGTTGATGCTCAAGCATAAGAGAAGAGCAGTTTGGTTTACAGTTGTATTTCCTGTGTCTACTCTGTGCCCTTTATTTGCAGTAGCAATCTGCCATAACTGCTTCTTTGCATCCTTTTTTATTCTCCTAAAACTGAGACGTTGTTGGATTACAATGGCACCATTGTTCTGAATTATATACTTTTAGTAATATTAGTTGGCTGGCAAGTTGTTAGAGATTATAAAACTAAGCTTAATTTTGTTTGTTTGTTTGTTATTTTAGTACCAGGGATTGAACTCAGGACTTTGCACTTGCGAAGCAGATGGTGGAACCACTGAGCTAAATCCCTGGCCCTACCCTTAATGCTAATTAAAAGAGGTTAAGTAAAGCTGATTTTGCTATATTAAGCAAGGCACTGGTTAAAATTACAGGAGTGAGCCAGGCATGATGGAACTTAGCAAGCATAGGTTAATGACGTCTTTGTTACAGTGTTTCTCTAATTTTTTTTTGGTACTGGGATGGAACTCGGGACCTTGGGCTTAGGAGGCAGGTGGGGGCTAAATATATTATTTTAAAAGCAACATGCTGTGATCCCAGCACTGGGGAGGCTGAGGCAGGAGGGTCATGTGAGTTCGAGGCCAGCCTGAACCTTATCTCAAAAATCCTAAGAAGAACAAGTAAAGGAGAAGATTGTGCAGAATCACATGAGCCTACATGATGTATATCCAGAAACCAGCACTGCCTCCATATGCCACTCCCCTTGAGGCTGCACTCCTATGCTTGGCGGAGCTTTACCGATGTCTCACTCAGGTTGTGGAGAAGCAGTGCCTTTGGGTTTTCACATTCTGGATTTCTTTGCCCCCAAATAATCATTTAATGATGAATAATGATTTCCGTTCTCCACATCGCCAGCATTTGAGCATTTCTGAAAACCACTTGCTGCTGAGCATTCTCTACGGTACTTCTCCATGTTGGGTAATTACAGAAGAAATGGTATGATTCTTATTCTCAAACTACTTAGAGTCTAAATTACTTATAATTGAGGTATTGAGCATTCGCATACTTAAGAATCAGTTTGCTTGCTTTGAAAACTGAACATCTGAGGACCCAAAGCTGTCTAACTCGGTCTGGCTGGTCATGGTGATGGGAGGTTTTGGAGGCAGTTCTGATACAAGCCATACACACTTGGAAGACAGACTCTCATGGAGAACAGGCTCATTTAGGGGGAAGACTTTAAATAATGAGAGCATTGGGGTAGGGATGGTGGTGCATGCTTATAATGCCAGCTACTGGGGAGGCTGAGGCAGGAGCATCGTAAGTTTGGTGCTGTCTGCACAGCTGAGTGAGAATCTGGCTTAACATAAAGTAAAAAAATCTGGGGGACGTAGTGCAGTGCTAGATTCTTGCCTAGCTTGGCTCTCGTTTCAATCCTTAGAAAATGGTGCAGCTTGATAGCAGAAGGCCCTGGATCGGTCCCCAGCATTGTTTAAAGAAAAAGTATTAAATGCTTTTTATCATTATGTGCATGAACGAGATTGTTTTGTCAAATTTTAAGATTTTAAGTTGCACGGTCCACTTTTGTTATACACAGTATTTCACTGTGCTGAACATCTATGTGTTGATGGATGTGAAAAGCACGAAGAATACTCAGAATACACTGACCTTACTGTGACCGATCGGGGCAAAGGCTGGCAACTGTGTGATCTCTTAACGGTGTGTGAATTTTCTGTACTTTTCTGTCATTGAGCACTCACTACCCACTGGGTTTAATTGCTCTTTTCTAGAACTTTTCTTCATTTCTAACACCTGGCGAAATATAGGTAGAATTATGCAAAGTGTTAATGACCTCTGTGACCTTGTTTGACCATGAGATCTCTAAGGTTATATATTACAGTATTAAAAGTAAAACCAGAGAAGATCCCATACTGCTGGTTTGGATCAAGTAATAGTTGTAATGTTAATGATATAAGGACTTCTTATATAGTGTGGGTATTTCTCTTCTGTTTAGCTAAATGAGCTGTTTAAAAGAGATTATGGATCTATTATGATTTATCTTTTAAAAATTTAAAACCTAGTAGCACTTTACCCTCCAGTGTCAAACAATAAATTAGCCACAGCACATAGGAACCTTTTTTGTGATATGAGAAATATTTTCTCTTTCTATCACACAACAGTACTTCAATAGTTTATTGATTTGACAGTTTTGATTATTGAATTAATTTGTAATATATGGAACTGTTACCTGACCAGTCATTCAAAAAGTGTTAAAATTGAAATAAGAATTAATATCTCCATTTGAATATTCCATTAATGCCTGCTAAATACAAACTGTTAACAAGACATTTTAAACATATTCTTCTTTTGGCTTTTTATATTATAAAGTAGCACAATGGGCCACGGATTTAGCTCAGTGGCACCACGCCTGCCTCATAAGCACAAGGTTGTATGAGTTCGATCCTAGGTACCAGAAAAACAAAACAAACAAAATAGCACAGTGTGTTTGAACAATAAGGACAGTGTGGAAGGGGGACAGGGATTTAGCTCGGTGGCATAAAAAAAAAAGGAGGAAATGTGAAAGAAAAACTGCTGGTAATTGACATATAAAATTTATATATACACATTCATGATATATAAAGTTTAACACTAGAATCTGTTTTATCTTTTATATTATTTTTGTTGTTGTTGTTATTTTATTTTGAGACAGGTCTCACTGTGTAGTTCTGGTTGGCCTTAAAACTCACTCTGTAGCCCAGGCTGGCCTCAAACTCAAGGCTGAGCTCCCATGTGCTTGGAATACAGGCGTGTACACCCAGCTCTATATTAATATTTTTGTAACAAGAAATACTGTTTAAGATTCAGACTGTCGGGCTGGGGATTTAGCTCAGCGATTCGGTGGCCTGCCTTGTAAGCACAAGGACCCGAGTTCAATCCCTGGTACCAAAAAAAAAAAAAAAGATTCAGACTGTCTTGGTTACTTTCCTTTCATTGATGAGACAAAATACCCGACACCCAGATTTAAAGGGGGAAAGATTCATGTGGCTTACTTTTCGTAGAGGTTTTAGTCCATGATTGGCTGTCTGCAAGGCAGGGTGGCAGAAGGACAGCAATCTTCGGCATGCCAAAGGTAGCAAAGCAATAAAAGACCTTAGCGGCGTCTTTCTGCCCCTTTTACCTTAGACCAGTAGGATCGGGGCAGTGCCAAACCAACCAGTGCACTGGATTAGTAATCACACGCTTTTAATCTCAGCATCATACACTCTAGAGTGAGCCACCTCTGGCCTCATGAGGCTTTGGAGGGACATCTAGACCCAAACTGTAACACAGTCTTTGTGCCTTGCAGTTATCATCAACATTTATTATGTCTGATTTCATGGAAGTGCTAATAGAGTATTATGTAGAGGAAATTTAGTTTCAGTTGGTGAATTGACTGACTTTTGTAGGATGTGCCACAGGCTTAGAAGACTTTGCTTTTAGTCGGAATCTCTTATGAGCCTTTTTGTTGTTATTTTTCCAGTGTCAGGAATTGGACTCAGGACCTTGCACTTGTGAGGCAGGCATGGTACCACTGAGGTAAATCCCTGGGCCCCTTGAAAAATGTTATACTAAAAATTACAGAATATTTTCAAAGTCAAGTGGCTATTCTGACTAGAAAATCATTCTTTTAAAAAAAATACTAAACGTCAAAAAAATTTCTTCACTTGTATGGTAGGCTTAAAGCCATTGTTTTTATAAGATTTAGTGTTCCTCCAATGTTAATTACATATTTTAGTGTTAGTGTCTTAAATTTCCAGATTT